TATAAACTATTTGGACCATATGGTACATGCATTTAAAATTTTAACTGGTAGAATGAAGCTTCCTTTTGTAATGACTCTTCAACCTTTACTATGCCCAGGTATAATTTACTACTATCTTCTTCAGAATTGGCCAGATTTTTAATGGTTTTGCATTAAACTTAGTGGTAGGTGAATTTAGTGATATTTGATGTTTCTTTTAAAACTATTGACTCTCGCTTGGCTGGTGTGGCACAGTGGTTGAGTGTCAACCTATGAACCAGGAGGTCAGGGTTTGATTCCTGGTCAGGGCACATGCCCGGGTTGTGTGCTCAATCCCCAGTGTGGGGTGTGCAGGAGCCAGCCAAACAGTGATTGTCTCTTGTTGACTAGTGTTCCGGTGCATGGATTCGTGCACATTGAAAGGAAAGTAATTAGAAGAATTATTTTAATATTGCTGTTCACCCTTTCTCTATAATAGAAGTGTCAACCAAATTCACGATCGACAATGACTGATGGAAACACACGCATGCGATTGACGCCAGTGAGAGCTTTATATGTATTGCACATGCACAAGTCAACTTAGCCATATATATATATATATATATATATATATATATATATATATATATATGTTTCTATCTCTTTCTCCCTCTCCCTTCCTCTCTAAAATCAATAATAAAAATATATAAAAAAAAGTTAAAAAAAAGAAAACTATTGACTCTTCCTATTTAAGATATGTCTCCATCTATTTGCCTACTTGTACACTATACAGTTTATTTGTAAGGACAGTGTTATTCGGTGTTTCTATTGTGAATGGGATTCTGACCCAGTGTGTATTCTGATCTGTTGCTTAGGTAGGAAAACCGTGGACTTTTGTCCCTTTATTAAGTACCTGGTCATCTTACTGAGTTCCTATTGTTTTTAGTTTTTTCATTTAATTCCTTATATATTTCAGGTCTATAATTATGACTTACAAATAAGTTTTTGTCTCCTTCCCAATATTATTTCTTTTATTTAGTTTCTGATTTGTATTATCTACTTCCCCCCAAACAGTGTTAAATGAGAGCAATGATAGTGGGTCTCCTTGGCTTAATTCTGATTTTAATAGGGATGATTCTAGTTTTTCACTATTATTTGAGCCTGTTTTTTTAATTTTAAGTTTTTTACTACTAATGGTTGCAATAAATGGTGTCTTGTTTCCATAAATGGTGCCTTGAACACACTCGGTGTTTGAGTTGTGTTTTTCTTGTCGTTTTGTGTCCTGTTCTGTGTATAGCTGAGCCACTTTGTTGTCGGGTCATCTCTACTGGGTGTGCCAGGCTCGCATGGGGCTGCCCTCCTAGGAGTTATTAGAATGCACACTTGTCAGGTATGTTTGCAGTGTTCCAGTTAATAGCTTCTCATGGAAGTTTGAGATGAGCCTGTGCTGATGAAGATTTTATTAACATTTTAAATGTGGGCCTAAAAGTGCTCTGGCCCACTGCTGCGGTCTGACCCTTTACTGATGGTTTCAGGGCACAAAACTTTGGGATGGAGATGAGACCCAGTTGTGGAAGGGCATTGGTGTCACACCACTTGGTTCACCACGTGTCCATCGAATTTCTACCACTACACACATTGGCGTGTCTGTGGTGTAGAGTGGTTTGCAGAGTGGTGTGTGACTCGGGACACAGAACAAACTTAAAATGACTCCCCTCCCCCCAAATTTAACTGAAATATTTCAAACATACAGAAAAATAATAATAAAAACAATAACATATAGATAGCACAGTTTGAGTGCTCTTTCCCTCTATTTATGTATTTTTATATATTAACTCACTAATTCCAGCAGATAGATTGTATTATCCTTATTTTACAGACAAAGAAACTGAGATTATAGGTAGTTAAGTAACTTGCCTAAAGTTACATTTTGGCAAATCACAGCTGGGATTTGAACCCAGGCAGTCTGGTGCCAGAGTACATGGTCTTAACTAATACAATACACTCTGTTGCCTTTCAGAAATACAAAAAGTATTATCATATACATGGATGATATTTAGCACCTAATTTTAACAAATGTTAACATTTTACTATATTTGTTTTCAGTTAAAAAAAACCCCATTGCAAAAAAACAAGTGTTTTCTCATCCTTGAGGAATTGTATTAGACCAGCGGTTCTTAACCTGTGGGCCGCGACCCCTTTGGGGTGGAACGACCCTTTCACAGGGGTCACCTAAGACCATAGGAAAACACATATATAATTTACATATTGTTTTTGTGATTAATCACTATGCTTTAATTATGTTCAATTTGTAACAATGAAAATACATCCTGCCTTTCAGATATTTACATTACAATTCATAACAGTCAACGAAAATAATTTTATGGTTGGGGGTCACCACAACATGAGGAACTGTATTAAAGGGTCACGGCATTAGGAAAGTTGAGAGCCACTGCTCTAGACACTATCTTTGGTCTTTTCCGGACCCATCAGATTGCTTTTCAGCATTGCCCTTTCCTACACCGCCCTCCCTCAGCACTGTGACGTGATTACTTTTTCTTCTGTCTGGTAAGCACTCATTCAGCAGGCATTTTTGGAATATCTGTGCAGTGGTAGAAATTCAATGGACACGCCAATGTGTGTAGTGGTAGAAATTCAATGGACAAGTGGTGAACCAAGTGGTGTGACACCAATGCCCTTCCACAACTGGGTCTCATCGCCATCCCAAAGTTTTGTGCCCTGAAACCATCAGCAAAGGGTCAGACTGCAGCAGTGGGCCAGAGCACTTTTAGGCCCAAGGCCAGGCACTGTGCAGGGTGGAGACACAGTCAAGAAAAAGGCCCTGTTTTGGTCATGATACAAGTCAGGATCTTAACAGCATGGAAATGTGGACTTACTTTAGTGCAAGGGGTTGTTCAAAACACAGGCTTGGAAGCGCTGATTTTAGTGTTTGCTGGCCTGCTTGTTAGACCCTGTAGGCTTCCTTAGCCCTGGGTCAGTAATTTCGTTTATTTATATTTATTGTCTGCAGTAAACTCCAGCGAGATGGTTGAATTGGATATGGTCTAGAATTGTTGCAGTTCAGTATGTGTTGACTTCCTTCTGGAAAGCCCTCGGCTCTGTATTGGCTTTGAATCCACCCTGTGGGTCTTGTGGGCCATGGGATGAGGAACTGGTGGGTACACGTGTACTTGGGTAATTCATGGAAATTGGAAGGACCCTCAGGTGGGTCTCAGGGCCTGGGCCAAGCTGTTGTGACACCAAGCCCTCTGATCCTGGGATACTGAACAGTAAGGTGTGATTTAAGTGGAGCTGACTTGCTTTTTTTATTTTTTCATCTTCACTCTGTTTTGAAAATAGTAAAATTAGCTGTTAACGTAAAAAAAACCATTGAAACCTGTAAAGAATTTTTGTGAGTTTATTTGAGCCAAACTGTTGACATATGCCGGGAAGCAGAACCTCAACGAATTGAGATAATGCTTCGGAGAATGGCGGGTTACATCTGTATTTATATATTGCAATCAAAGGAAGGGACATAGGTGGGTTACATGAAATTCATTGGTGATAGACTAGAGAGGCGGGAGAAAGCAAAGCAGGGAAACCCCAGTGACTGGATAAAAAGTAAAATGATAGACAAATATTTAGGTGGGTACAGGAACAATTAACATGATAATAATGAAGGAACTTGTGGTATCTGTCTTGGCACCCAGCACATTAGGTTGTGCCCCAAGGGGTCTGGAAAAGGGAAGTTACAAGTTACCCAGACATTTCAAGGGCATGTTATTATAGATGCAAAAAGATATGCCAGTATAGGCTCAGTTAAGGTAAAGGTTGACCTTGTCAGTGAAGATACTGGCCTAGGACATAACTACCCACCATAACAGCTTTTAGTTAAAGTTTAATTTCAGACCATCCTTAGTTAAGGTCTCTGAGTTTGCAAGACCGCCATGCAGGCCTGCCCTGAGCTTGTCAGGTTAGCATGTGGCCCCTTTCGTCCACATAACATATATTAAAAATATATTTAAAAATCATTAATTTATTAGAATTTGGAATGTATTACTATATCAAAAAATTAGTATCAAGCATCTTGAAAGAATTTGTAAAATGGAATGAATTAATAAAGTCACTTTCAGCACTGCCATCAAGTGTTTTACTCATATGCATCACTACAGAATGGAGGTCACTGCCCAGACCCCACATTCATACAGCAGCCTGATCAGGACGGGAGCAGGGGCCGCATATTGAGATTTGGGCTTTTTCCTGCTCACTGGCTGTTGGGCTTTGGGCAGCTTAATAAACTCATTAGTGCCTCAGTTTTCTCATCTGCAAAATAGTGATAATATTTACTTTCTTCACAGGGTTTTTTTTGTAAAGACTGAAAGAGGGTAAAAGCACTCTTAAAGTTATTAGGGACACATAAATGTAATCCTACTTAATAAAAGAGTAATATGCAAATTAACCCTCACTCTGCGACAAAGATGGTGGTGCCCATAGCGGCCGGGGCAGGATGCTGGCAGCATCACCCTGGCAAGGTGAGCCCAGCAGGCAAGTGCGCCCTCAGGCAGCACCCAGCAGGGCCTGCTTGGCGGTCACCGTGGCGACCCTGGAGCAGGCAAGTGGGGGCCCGAAGGCAGCACCCAGCACGACCTGCTTGCCCATCCCTGTGGTGTGGAGCAGGCAGGCCCCGCAGAGAGCAGAGAACCACGGGGAGTGGGCCCAAGCCGTCAGTAGGACATCCCCTGAGGGCTCCCGAATTGGAGAGGGTGCAGATCGGGCTGAGGGACACCCCCCCTGCATGAATTTTGTGCACCAGGCCTCTAGTTTATAAATATATGCATACAGAGTCTTTCCAACAGAAACAAGCATACTATTTTACGTTTTTGTAACTGCTCGCTTGTCCAAAATTAGTGTGATTCTCAGTCATAAATTTTTTTAATTTCAAGGGAATATTTTGAGCCACGGTATTCTAGGACTTGGAGAGCTTATAGTAAGTGGGATGTAGAAGAGAGTATCGTTTTCTAAACGTGTCTTTGTGCTTTTAGGTATACCAAGCTTGGCTACGCAGGCAACACTGAGCCCCAGTTCATTGTTCCTTCATGTAAGTAAAGCTCCTCTTTTGAGCGCATAATAGATTGTTTCTCAGAATTGTTCTAAGTGTTCTGATTCTGTTTTGTAAGGTATACCTGCCATCTTCATGTAGAACTTGTCCTGGTTCCTGGGGAGGGTTATTTATTTTGACACCTAGTTCCTGAATATTGCTATTGGCTGCAGGTGTGACCTAACACCACCCCCCTCCCCCCAACTTTCTGACAGTCCTTTGTCATTGTCATTGAAGTTTCAGCTAGGGTGGTTGGTAGGGGCTGTGCAATTCTAAATGTCTGAATTATTTAGAAGTGTATGTGTCGCTTGAAGAATAATTTGTAATTTTTAAGTCAGTGCAGTGTTATTAACTTAGCCACGTTGTGGGCTGAATATCCATTGTACTCGCTGTTCACTCTATTGAAAGACTTTTTTTTGAAATGAGAGGCCTGATGACTGTTTTACTGTGTTCAGAAGTGTTCTTCTTTTGTTTAAATTTTAGTCAGTAGAGAATGGTAGACTGAAAAGGGCATGCTCTCACAGTTTGGCAGCAGTGCCTCCCACCCCCTCTCCATTTCCCATGGGAGTCTCCAGGCTTGGGTTGGTTGTGAGAGGGTAGAATTAGTCTCCGAAATGATTTAAATTCTGGAGATAGTTTACCAAAGAGTGAAGTGTAACCCAGCTGGTGTGGCTCAGTGGTTGAGCGCCGACCTATGAACCAGGAGGTCATGGTTCGATTCCCAGTCAGGGCACATGCTTGGGTTGCGGGCTCCATCCCCAGTGTGGGGTGTGCAAGAGGCGGCCGATCAGTGGTTCTCTCTCATCTTTGATGTTTCCACCTCTCTCCCTCACCCTTCCTCTCTGAAATCATTAAAAATATGTTAAAAAAAAAAAAAAGAGTGAGGTGTGTCAGTGAAGTGAAACTCTGCCTCCTAAGTGTGGCTCTGGTACGAGAAGCTGCGACCTTAGAATCTGAGCTGCTCTGGGGCCGGTGACATGGTGATGACAGGCTCTCCTGACCCGTGTGGGGCATGGACAGCTGAGGAGGCGGGAGAAGGAGCCGGCTGAGTGTTTACTCAAGGGAAGACCAAAGACGTTCTGGTGAACATGGGCCCTTGAGAACATTTTCTTCACCCCATTCCGTGACGGCATGTCCTCGACAACAGGTCTGCTGCGCCCTCATTTTAAATCCACAATTTGGTGTATAGTTTATATCCCAGAATGGGGTCTCCAAGTCCAAGGTCAGTGCCATCAGGGATGGTTTCTGGTGAGGTGTCTTCTCATTGTGTTCTTGTGTGACCTTTTCTCTCTCCATGGCTGACAGAGCTCTGGTGTCTCTTCCTCTTCCTTTTTTTTTTTTTTTTAAATCCTCACCCGAGGACATGCTTTTATTTTTTATTTTTATTTTTTAATCATTATTTTATTTATTTATTTAAATCTTTATTGTTGAAAATATTACATAGGTCCCTTTTCCCCCCCTCCAGCCTGCCCCTCCTCCCCCACCCCCCACCCCAGGCCTTCAGCACCCTATTGTCTGTGTCCATGGGTTACGCATATGTGCATACAAGGTCTTTGGTTGATCACCTCCCACCCTCCCCCATCTTCCCTCTGAGAGTCCTCACTCTGTTGTGTGCTCCCATGCCTCTGGATCCACTCCGTTCATCAGTTTATTTTGTTCATTAGATTCCACACATGAGTGAGATCAGGTGATGATTGTCTTTCTCTGACTGGCTTATTTCGTTCAGCATAATACTCTCCAGGTCCCTCCATGATGCCTCAAAGGGTAAGAGAGCCTTCTTTCTACCCCTGCATAATATTCCATGGTACCATAACTTTTTTTATCCACTCGTCTAATGATGGGTACTTGGGCTGTTTCCAGATCTTAGCTATTGTAAATTGTGCTGCTATGAACATAGGGGTGCATATATCCTCTCTGATTGGCATTTCGGGTTTTTAGGATATGTTCCTAGAAGTGGGATCACTGGGTCAATGGCAGTTCCATGTTTAATTTTTTGAGGAAACTCCATACTGTTTTCCATAATGGCTGCACCAGTCTGCATTCCCACCAGCAGTGTACTAGGGTTCCCTTTTCTCCACATCCCCACCAGCACAGGACATGCTTTTACTGTATTTAGAGAGAGAAAGAGGGTTAGGGGGAGAGAGAGAAAAAAAATCGATGTGAGAATGAACATTGATTGCCCTGACGGGGGATCGAAGCAGCACCTGGGTGTGAACCCTGACTGGGAATTGTATCTGTGACTTTTCAGTGTGGGGATGACACTCCAACCAACTGAGCCACACTGGCCAGGACTCTCTTCTTCTTCTTTTCTTAAAAATATTTTTATTGATTTCAGAGAAGAAGGGAGAGGGAGAGAGATCAATGATGAGAAACATCAGTGATGAGAGAGAATCATCATTCAGCTGCCTCCTGCATGCCCCCTACTAGGGGATTGAGCCTGCAACCCAGGCATATGCCCTGACCTCCTGGTTCATAGGTCGAAGCTCAGTCACTTGGCCACACCGGCTGGGCTCTTCCTCTTCTTATAAGGACACCAGTCCTATCGGATCAGGGCCCCAACCTCATGAGCTCATGTGACTGTGTTACCTCCTTATAGGCCTCACCTTCGAATGCTGTCACATTGGGGGTCAGGGCTTCAGCATACAGCATTTGAGGGGACAGTTCAGTCAGAGCAGTTGGCACTGTGCAGGATATATCAGTCTTTTGTGAATGTTGTTACTGTGAATGCCTCAGAACTTGACCATGTCATGCCAGATTGATAAATTGGCCTTTCTGGCTTTTTAGAGCAGATTAGATTTGAACCTTGGTAAGTACAGCAGCTTTGAAAGGCTGACCTCACACCTGTGCTTTAAAGCTTTGGTCTTTGTTTTATTTTTTGTCACATGTCTCCCTCCCTCCCTCCCTCCCTCCCTCCCTCCCTCCCTCCCTCCCTCCCTCCCTCCCTCCTCCCTCCCTCCCTTCCTTCCTTCTTTTAAAATTGATTTCAGAGAGGAAGGGAGAGGGAGAAAGATAGAAACATCAATGATGAGAGAGAATCATTGATTGGCTGACTCTTGCACACCCTCTACTGGGGATCAAGCCCGCAACCTGGGCACGTGCCCTTGATCGGAATCGAACCTGGGACCCTTCAGTCTGCAGGCTGACGCTCTATCCACTGAGCCAAACCAGCTAGTGCTAAAGCTTTGGCCTTGAGTGCAGCATTTTGTTGTGGGTGCCATGTAACCTGTCATCATTGGTGGGGAGGGGACCTGAATCCTGTTGTTAGAGGGATTTTGCTCACTGTCAGGAGGCGGGGACTCTCAGATTGGTGCTGCAGAGCGTTTGCAGTGGCAGAAGCTGGAGAGAGGCTAAAACGTCAGGAGTGGGAATGAAAGAAGAGCTATCCTGTTGGCTGAACTGTTGCCAGAGAGAGCAGCATAGGAGGCAGGTAGGTGTTTGGACAGTGAAGGTGCTGGGGCAGGTAGGGAGGGGCCTTGCTTACTTGGGCCGTGGCCCACTGCTGTGTTAGTGCTGGAGCTGAACTGTTCTGGTTCCAGAGGCTCTGTCCACAGACCAAGGCCAAGACCCATGTGCTGAAGTGCATGCAGAGAGAAGGGTGGAGTGGGTGTGCGGGTGTGTGGAGAGTGCCGGGACCAGGCTTTCTGACCAGGGGTGCACAGGCGAGGCCCTGGTGTGGGGGGGATGGCAGCACTCCGATAGTTTCTGAAATCACAACTCCGAGTGGACGATGGAGGATGTGGAACCACAGAGAGGGCCCAGGTGATGAAGGATTTCGAACCGCCTTCGGAAGGAGTTTTCATTTGTATACCAGGGATTTTCAGATTGGCTCTGCGAGGTCTGGCTTGCCTGAGCCTCTGTGCAGAACTTTAAGTTGTCGGAGAATATTGGGAATCACTGACAAGAGAGGGCGTGTGTGTGTGTGTGTGTGTGTGCATGTGCGTGTGCGCGCGCGTGTGTGAGTGTGTGTGTGCGTGTGTGTGCATGTGCGTGTGCGTGTGTGTGTGTGTGTGTGTGTGTGTGTGTGGCGATCACAAGCATAGAAGGCAGGGCGGGGCGGGAGAAAAAGTGCAGCTCAGACATTTGGTGTCTGAAGAGTTCGGTGTAAAGGTCCAGTCAGCACTGGGGACAGGGTAGGTGCTCTGGGGGAAGCCTGGACTCGAGACAGAGGCGGAGCCCAGAGATGGTTTTCTATTTAAAAATTTAGAGGTCTTTAAAGTCCTTATTTTGACAAAAAAACAAACAAAAACCCACCCATGTACCGGAACCCCGAATGAATAAATGTTAGTGGGATTTCACCTTGTGAACACCGGAACACAAGCACGCGTCAGTGCGAGTGCCAGCCTCTCCTGTTCCCCTGTCCTTCCCCTGTCCTTCCCCTGTCCTTCCCTGTCCATCCCCTGTCCTTCCCTGTCCTTCCCCTGTCCTTCCCCTGTCCTTCCCCTGTCCTTCCCTGTCCTTCCCCTGTCCTTCCCCTGTCCTTCCCTGTCCTTCCCTGTCCTTCCCCTGTCCTTCCCTGTCCTTCCCCTGTCCTACCCCTGTCCTTCCCCTGTCCTCCCCCTGTCCTCCCCCTGTCCTTCCCCTGTCCTTCCCCTGTCCTTCCCCTGTCCTTCCCCTGTCCTTCCCCTGTCCTCCCCCTGTCCTCCCCCTGTCCTTCCCCTGTCCTTCCCTGTCCTTCCCCTGTCCTTCCCTGTCCTCCCCCTGTCCTTCCCCTGTCCTTCCCCTGTCCTCCCGCTGTCCTCCCCCTGTCCTCCCCCTGTCCTTCCCCTGTCCTTCCCTGTCCTTCCCCTGTCCTTCCCCTGTCCTTCCCCTGTCCTCCCCCTGTCCTCCCCCTGTCCTTCCCCTGTCCTCCCCTGTCCTTCCCTGTCCTTCCCCTGTCCTTCCCTGTCCTTCCCTGTCCATCCCCTGTCCTTCCCTGTCCTTCCCCTGTCCTTCCCCTGTCCTTCCCCTGTCCTTCCCTGTCCTTCCCCTGTCCTTCCCCTGTCCTTCCCTGTCCTTCCCTG